GAATGCTTACATCCATCAGCTTGATCATGGCGACCTGGCCGCCATGCTGCTGCACGAACGCTTTTGCCCGCCGATTATCTGTCGGGGGCACAAAACTGTGCATGGCCTGCACCATGGCGGGCTGACACTCTGCCCGCGTGTAGCTGAAACCCTCAGGATAAGCAATCCTGGGGCCAGATGTCGAAGCCGATGCAGGGGCGGGCGCAGGGGCGGGCTCCGCTGCTGCCCGCACAGTCGCTGACGATGCGTTGGGAGAACGCACGGTTACAGGGCGAGTTGCCTGTGCGGCCTGAGTCCCCCCACTTCTTATGCGCCTAGCAAGGGGGACCTCGTCCTCCTCGCTCTCTGTCTCCTCGCGCGTGCGCCTGCGCGCACCCGGGGCCGCCACCTCAACTCTGCGATCTGCTTGTGGCCTTGAAGCCGAGCTAGATCCCCGGTGTGACGAGCTGCGTGAGTGAGGCGCTGGGGGTGGCCGCTCGTCGAACCTTGTTTGCCGGGGTTGCGCGCTGCTCGCCCCACGCCCTCGGGAATTCTGGGCACGTTGGCGCTGGCGTTCCAACAGGCTGCTCATATCTCCTGCACAAAAAAACGCATAAGCCTCAGCCCGACTAGAATTAATACTATATGATAAAAATATACCTTCGCTGAACAGGTTTGTCACATCGACAAACCCTAACACGGCGAGAGCTCCCGAGGTAACCAGGGCTTCCAGATCTATAAGACCCTCCCTCTGCGCATATTGGAGCAGTTGGTTCTTTAGATCCACATCCCGGGGCAACAGCTGGGGGTAATTGATGTGGGCGTTCGGCGTTCGCCACTCAGACAGCCGGGCAGCGAGGTCGTTGCTTATCCGTTCTGCACATGTGTCACGAACAAAAATAAACTGCCTCTTCCACCTCGCCACTTTGTTCCTCACGTTTTTTAAGAGCTAGCTCTTATCCCTCCCAGAGAGGTAATACCACTTCGCTCCTCGTGAGTTCGGGCACAACCGGCACTGGAATAGCGACCTGAACACTATTGCTTTAGCTGGCACCTCCAATCTTGTGCACAACAGCATAAAGCCCATGATGAACCTTATGCTGTTGGGCGTTAGTTGCGTCAACGCCAGCTCGTACTCCGCCAGCAGGTCGAACACCAGTCCGGGCAGGGGAAATTGCAGTCCAGCGTCAAAGTGGTCCACGTACACTGGTATCCAGCCCGTTCGTGACACTGTACACGCTCTTTCGTTCTGCCCGCCTGTCCGCAACAATATGGTCTTGGGGATTTGGTACGCCCTCACCATCTCCTCCAGCCGTTTATACCCACTTATGGAGGGCGTACAATCTGCTACTTCGTGATGAAGTGCAGCCACGAACCTGAATCCAGCGGGCAGATCCTTCGGTGCTTT